ACCAGCACCAGCACCACCAGCACCAGCACCACCAGCACCAGCACCACTAGCACCAGCACCAGCACCAGCACAAGCACCAGCACCAGCACCAGCACAAGCACCAGCACCAGCACCAGCACCACCAGCACCAGCACCACCAGCACCAGCACCAGCACCACCAGCACCAGCACCACCAGCACCAGCACCAGCACCACCAGCAGCAGCACCAGCACCACCAGCACCAGCAGCAGCACCAGCAGCACCAGCAGCACCACCAGCACCACCAGCACCACGAGCACCAGCAACACCAGCACCACCAGCAGCACCAGCAGCACCAGCACCACCAGCACCACCAGCACCACCAGCACCAGCACCTTGAACTGCTTCATTTCGTTCCGTCTTGGTTCTTGGGAAAACTACACCCTTTTGTGAGATCACACACACAGCCAGAAGATCCACATCCAGAGTGGAGCGACGACAAGGTGCTGTCAGGTGGCCTACTGTGCCAGGTCTCAGCTGCCCAAGCCCTGGCAGAGGGCGGTTCTGGTTCCTCGTAATTCTCTGATTTGATGTTAGTTTGTTAATTTTTCTTACCAACTGAACCAAACTTGACCAAATCGTACCAAGCACCCATATCTTCGCTTTGACACCAGGACTTGGTGGATTTCTACGGAAACCTTCCACGTGCCGTCTTGTCTCTCTATCAGGCGAGGCCGCCGCCTCGGCCCGCCACCGAACGGCACTCGTGGCAGGGCGGTTCCCGCCGACTGAGGAAGCGAGTTCCGCAGACGAAGCGTGCCATCCAAAGCAACTTGAAACAGAGGGAGACATCCATGTTTAAGAAGTCACTTTGATTGAAGACGCCAACCAACCAAGTGGACCAAGGCTTCCACAAGGTGGTCTCTCCATACTTTTGCACATGGATCCATCATCACAACTGGAAGCGTTTTTTTGATGGCTGTGGCCCTTCGCAAGGAGTTCGCTTAGCTTTAGTGTTTGATATTTTGTTTCACATTCATTCTTGGTCGTTTGTGTTGATAAGCGTGTGGGTCCTATGGCCGGTTTATCCAACGAGTCGTAGTGGATTGCCCAGAAGAGAGCTCTCTCTCTCTCTCTCTCGTGAACCCAGGACCTCTTGGACGGTGCGGGTGTTTCTTTTTTTCCATGAAACGACAGCTTTTGGACATTGAGGGCACTGCCCTCAACCACCCTCAAGCTTGTGATACGGTGTCCTTCAGCTCCTTGACACCACGATTCCCCGTCCAGGCCATGACCGGCGGAGTGGATTGGAATGACTTGAGCTTGCCCTTGGAGCCCATCTCCCCAATCATGTCCTTGGCCTGGGAGCCTAACCCAGCCAACAGACAGCCATGCTCACCTGCGATCTGACCGGATGATCGAGGGAGACGAGTCCTTCCACAGGGAAAAAAGAGAAGCCCCCGGGTTCCAAAGAAAGGACGCGGCTCGGAAAAAGATCGTATGTTTGGTAGCCATATGATGGAGCCAGCGACATCTTTGCAAGATCGAATGCTTCCATTGTCTAGATGATGTTTGTTCAGTGAGGAGAATCTTGGGGTCTGATACAGTTGCACCCGATATATATATATATATATATAACAAGTTGTCCATTTTAAATATGCATAATATTGGAACACAGATGTATTGGACTTTCTTTCTATTCAGGATCTCGCACGGGCGGAGTTAACCATCAGATCACAGGGATAGACATGTGTGGAAAAACAACTCAAAACTGATCTATATGCCCAGGTCAGCCGTTTTTATTTTTTTCGATCCAGACAGCAGTTGAATTCGGTGTGCTCCACGCCCCATGTCCCCCACATGTCACGCCTCTGAGATCTTTGCCCTCTACATCGCCTTTGCAGTGCCCCTTTTCAGCCGGCAGACGGTGCCGGTGGATCTGATGTGTTTGAGGCTGATGTGTGGATCATTCCATCGGGGTACCACATGGCCTCCATTCCGCACAGAGGCGTCCAAACCCGTCAGCTTAAGAACATCCCGGCTTGTGGAAGTACAGGTTGGCACGTGGTTCATCCCGCACACACCCCGCACAGAAGGGGAATGCATCAATGGGGCTCCCTTTTGAAGAAGCTCCAACTGCTTCCGTCTCTGGTGAGGATCTTTCAACACCTTTGCCCTTGGTGATACCATTTCTGATTGTTGCACTGGTGGTTTGGAGGACGTGGGAGCCTTTTTTCTGCTATACCAGAGTTGGATCACCTATACCAGGACCTTTCTCCCAGGTTCCGGTGCTTTTTGCGTCCGCCTCGACCACAAGTGTCCTTCTAGGGATTCTAGGGTCCACGTAATGAGGGAAGCGGGATGTGGTCGCGCCTTCTTGCGCTCTCCACAAAAGCGTTCGCTGCTGTTGACCGACTCAAGGGACGTTCGCAGTTCCTCTCACGAAGGGTTTGAAGGTATGTGGGAGACGAACGGTTTGGTGAAGTGGGAGACGAACGACGAAGGATCGCCACGGTGGACGGGTGGGAGACCGTCTTCTCTCCGGTGAACCGACCGTGCAACCGTTTCGCGGCACGAGACGCAGGTACTGGCCATGATGAACGTGGTCACCGGCGTTTTCGTGGAGTCGGCTTTGGGCTCCGCACGCGAGGACCGGACGAAACGGTGTGGAGAGGATGAAACCATGAGCGGAGTAGGTGGGTAAGGAGGAAAGTGAAAAGAGAGAGGGAGATTCAGAGGTCTAGCTTAGCCTAGCTTTGCCCCTTTGACCAAGTAGAGAACTTGAGAGAATTCTTTTTCATTGATCGAAGAAGATCTGCAGTCTGGAACGGGGGACAGGATCAAGACTGCGGGGCCTTCATTTGTTGGTCTGGACACCTTTTGGCAATTGGATCCATTTTGAATGATTGGAGTCTGGACTAACTGACTGGGGTCGGACAGCTTTTAGCCAAACCTTCTGCTGAATGGAACTTGAGGTTTACTGTACATTATATCACGAAAGCCAGCCGGTAGGCTGGGCTTGAGGTTGTTGGAGCGAACGAAGTGAGTAAAGGGGGTGTGGGGGGGGGTGGTTGCATGGTGGCCAATTCCGGAGAGGTGAACCCAGAGCCTGGTGAGGGAGAGCGACAAAAAGAGGCGGGCCACTTTTTTTCTGCATCTTGAGGCTGAGGTACCATGCAGGATCACAGCGAGCAGCAAAACGGGAGAGCACGGAGCATCAACTAATCCAGGTGATATTTGTGAATGGAAGCAAACTCACAATCAGGGGGTTCCCCAAAGTTACGAGCGATCGCGAAGCGGACAAGGAAGAACCAGATAGGGACAGGATTGACGAAAGTGACAGAGCCACAGAATCCGCTAAACCTTCGTAGGCCGAACTCCTGCAAAGAAGAGATGTGCTTAGCACTGAGAACGTTAATGCCTTGCAACTTCCAAATCCATCCTAGGGCAGATCTGAGCATGCATACGGAAGCATGCAGTGACTTACACTGCACGAAGTGGGTATGTACAGTCGGAGAGTGACTACAGAAGGCGAGGAAAAGCAACAGCCATGGGACGTGGGGTCCTTCCGGTTCTGAGGATATCAGCCATTCTGTCTGAGTCACAAACATCAAGAAGTCTCGAGCTAAACCCACAGTCATACGACGTTGACACTTGGCAAGCCTGTCAGGGGTGATGTCAACATGGAGTTTCCGATTTCGAGGGTCAGCGGCAAAAGCCAGAGTGAAAATCGGGTAATGATGCTTAATATCCTCAATATGCTGTTGAGTCAGTGTCTGGTTCAAACAGGCCTGTACAAATTGATTTTCGGGCTTTGCAACAAATACCGATTGAGACTGACACGTGCAAACGTTTTGTTTCCCGCGCAAACGGGTTCGGGGGCACAGGTGCACGTGTATGTTCTGGAAAGATGGGGAAAAACTACGTTTCCTTCGTACGCATTCTGACGTTCGTTTGGCGATACTGTCGAAAATCGACGGCGCAAAGTCGAGATGATGTGAACATGAGAGGCGGGCCACTTGTTAGTGAAAAATGAGTGGTTTGAGGGGTGTTGTGATGCCGGTGATGTGATTGACGGCGAAGAGTGCATCATCAGCATCACGAGGGGCTCAGAAGGCCATGGAAAGAGAACAGATTGTAGTTGCGGCTAAGCTTAGCGTTGCTGTCGGGCTGAAGAGGGCAGTCCCTATGTGGTGGGAATTCACGTAAATTGGGGGCTTGTTGAGGGAGTTCACGTGAGGTCCTGAATAGCTTAGGGGTGCCTTTTTTTCTCTGTGGCAAGGTCTAGTTGCTGGACTGAAAAGGGCACCCCACATGGGGTGCATGATGCCATTTGTTGAGGGCCTGCGAGAGAACCGCACTAAAGAGGGCACTCCCCATGTGGTGGGTTGGGGCAGGAGAGAGAGAGAGAGAGGCGATTGCAGCGGGCAAGCATTGAAGACAGAAGGTTCTGAATAGCTTATAGGGGTGCTCTGTTTTATCCGTAGCAAGGTCTAGTTGCTGGACGGAAAAGGGCACCCCACATGGGGTGCATGATGCCATCTGTTCAGGGCCTGCGAGAGAGCCGAACTGAAGAGGGCAGTCCCCATGTGGTGGGAATTCACGTGGAATGGGGGGTTGTTGACGGGCAAGCGTTGGAGGTGGAAGGTCCGCGAGGAAGCGCTGCCGGCAGACGATTTGGAGTTGTTGGTTTGCGTGGTGGAGGGCAGGAGAGAGAAGAGATTGCAGCGGGCAAGCGTTGGAGGCGGAAGGTCCTGAATAGCTTAGGGGTGCCCTTCTTTAACCGTAGCAAGGTCTAGTCGCTGGACTGATGAGGGCACCCCACACGGGGTGCATGATGCCATCGGTTGAGGGCCTGCGAGAGAACCGCACTAAAGAGGGCACCCTCTATGCGGTGGGAGTTCACGTGAAGGTCCTGAATAGCTTAGGGGTGCCCTGTTTTATCCGTAGCACATCTCCTCACCTACCCTACCCATTGCCTCGCACATGAACCTCCACCGCCGTCTCTGCTCACTGATTCGCAACACGCCGCCGGCAAGCGCGCCTCACTTCCTGAGGGGTGCCCTTTTTCACTTCCAAATCCCCCTGAACCGGGGCGAAAAAGGGAACCCCCCAGACCTATGTCTTCTACTTTCCATTTCTACCTCCTATCAGTGTGGCTGCGATGTCAACTTCGCCCCATGAAATTAATCTTTGCCTGATGTTACCCATCAGTTCCTCTTGCACGCCAATTCTTTGCCTGGGCCTACCCTGAGAGCACCCCCTAAGCCAGAGGCTGGCTTCGTCCCCTCCCTTCTCAGGTATATATATATATATATATACCAATATATAGTTGTTGAAGAATTCTCTTTTTTGGAAGAATTGGTTCCCTAACGTTGGGGCCCTCACATGGGTCCTCTAGTAGGTGGACATATGGCGACAGACTCACCTCTTGAAACTACAAGAAGCCCGGTCCTGACGGGCTCTGGCGGTCAAAGAGCACAGCATGGATTGTGGGTTGCTGAACTCTTGTGACATCCTTGTAACATCAGGGCCTGATAAAGGGGGAACTGCTATCAGCGAACTAAGACAAAGTCTCGAAGGACATAGCCCTGATTGTCGCTCACCGACAGGACCGCGAAAGAGAGGCAGGCAGCGGGCCAGTGCGAAATTGGAGACGCGTTGGGAGAGTTTTGTTTTGTTATTTTTACATTTTTTCTTTAGTTTTTATTTTTTTTTAATTTTCGGTTCGTTTAATAATTCTTATTTGCATCTGGTCCAAAAACAAAAAAAATAGGTCAGATAGAGAATGGTCTGTGAAGAACACTCAGCAGCAGGTCAACATCTCAATGACTTGTGATTCTTCTTTGTGGATTTTTGCCCTTGGCGATTGAGTGGTATTGTTTTCTCCTGCAATCTGGCGTATGCGAGTTTTTGAAGAAATAGGGTCGTGGGAAAGAGACCCTGCAATGCACTTGAGTCGCACGTGCGATGTGCCCCTGCCGGCCGCGCTTGATTCAAACAGATATATATATATATACAAAAGCAAGCGCACCAAATCTCCCATGAGACATTTTGCTCTCGTGTGCCTGGCACAGCATGTGAAATCTCCAAGTGGTGGGTCCTGTTTCTAGCAGACGTTCAGGTCATCCATGCAGTGCGGAAGATCTTCAACATGGGAGATCAAAACAAGAATGGTGCCTGGACGGCAGTGATCGAAGCCATCCCGACGCCAGAGTGAGTTACTTGGGTTAGGAAGATACTTAGAGATCAGTTGGTGAAGACAAAGCTTCCGATCAGTTCTAGGCAAGAGGACTTCACCAAGTGTCGCACATTTGAGGTTGATTTGGAGAAGTTTTTTCGCCCGTTTTTTTACAAACACATGCCACTTGCGTGTTGCAGGCAGTGAAGCCGTGATCTTTAAATACAAGTTGAAGCAACCCTTTCTTGGGCAGCACGTAAAACTTGATTATGGGAATGCACTGGACGTAGCAAGCTGACGCAGATGACACCATAAGCAGTATCCCATAAACATTACAACATGCTACTAGTGCCGGGCTGTTTAGTTGGCATCACCAGCACCTTCTAGTGCAACTAGTTCGAGACTGGGATGAGGACGCAAATGGCTTGGAACAGAGACGGTCACCAATGATTCACCTGTCGTGTCTTTGAGAAGTTGCATTTCCAGACCGAACCATGCAACCCCGAACGCGAGTCGCGGTGCGGGATTGAGGTGTTCTCAGCTGGAATGAGTTCGCTGCCACGTGTGGAGCCTGAGAGCGTAGAAGCAACTCCGGTAGGTTGTTCATTTTCGTTCAAAAGCTGAGTGATGTTCCCAAGATTGGATTTAGATGGCAAGGAAATCAGCCCAGAAGACCAATGCGCACACTAGCCCGTATTTTCCCGAATAGGGGGCCACAGCAGTGCGCATTTCCGTAAGTTTATGTGCGCTGCATTGCTGCTACTCCACCTTTTGAGCCACATTCATCATATACTACCATTCGTTGCCCTACCAAATAAATTCACAAGAGCAAGACCAAACAGAAACAAAAACACCTAAAAAGAACAAAACAACAAAAAACAGTCACTGTCTGAGGGGCAGCTCCTGAGACATGGACTTGTTTTTCTTTTTGGTTTTGGTGACACTGTCACACAGGAAACAGCCGTGCTGAAGCCTTTTTAGCACTGTCCATCCTTCTTTTTTACTGCGTCAGCAGGAAACACACATATCTAGTACTGTTATTGAATAATATTATCATCATAGACATGTTCTATAGTTTTAGTTGAATTTGGTGTAATAGTAGTCAACATTCAACATTCTATTACTTTGTAGTTCTTCATAATATTTGTTCAATTCATTCTTTAATGTTGTTTTTTGTACTTCTAAAATATGAATTCATAAATCCTTTCATTGTAGCTAATGTCGTTTTCATTTTTGTTTTAGTTGCAGTTTATTATAGAGTATTAGATGAACTTGACTTTAAGTAAGCCTATATAATATTCATAGGATACTGAACGTTTACAGTATTAGAACAACAACTATATTGATCCTTTTCATAGATTACTATATAGATTTAAAATAGCCATCAAAAAGTTGCAATCGATAACATCATATTTAAATGCATATAAAAAGAGATAATATATGAGAAACAAGAAAAAAAGTGCACTGCCACAGTCCCCAGCCCTCTTTTGTTGGAGTGGCCCCGATGGGAGGATGTCAGTCAGAATGTCTCCAGTCTTGTTTTCGGTGGCACCGGTGGTCTCCGCACTTTCCGAGCAAATCGCTTGCTTTTAGCGATGTTTGAGCCTTTTGTATTTGTTTTGACCCAGGGGACATGAAGCAACGCCCAGGAAATGGGCAGGGGAAATGACACCATGAAGATCAATGAGTCAAACATGACACTTGGGTCCAAACTTGCTGCGAAGTGAACAGTCTAGCCCAGCCTCATGGTGCCAAAGCACAGCGATCCGGAGATCCCAAGTCCAATGAATCCACATGAATAGGAAACGATGTAGAGTCTCAACAACTTGAGCGAGTGTGACGGACTCAATCCCCATCAATGAGTGCATTCTGTCTTGGAGAACTCACAACTCCACACACGAGCTGATGTTCTTGTTCAGTGGGTCTCGGAAGAGTCGCCCCTCAGAGGCGCCTCAGCTGACAAATAATGGACCAATCACTCGCAGCCGGTGAAGCTCATTGCTGCCCAGGTTGAGAGCCTGAAACAGAACCAACAAAACGAGCCAGCCGGCTTCTGCAACTTTGGCAGCTTCCTTCTGAACACTCACCCCGCCTTCAAGTTGCCCTTATTGTCCGTACAGGAGTTTTGTAGTTTCGCTGCTCTGCCCCCCAGGATCGCCCAGGTTGCACGCACTCGAAGCCGGGCGGAGCCGTCCGTCGAAATCCAACTCCTTGCTGTGGGAAGCTCCGAGCTGTTAAAGATCAATCACCGGCCCCAAGCAAACTAGTACCAGACCGTGGACAGACTGGACTACACTGTTGCATCTTTTTGCACAGGAGATCAGTGAGGCCCTCTCCCAACCAGACTGGGTCTTAGCTGCGGAGGTTGGAAGATCCGCTGAACATGCGATACTTCAACACCATTGGAATCAATTCCTCCGAGGCGCCTGTTTTTTCGTGCTTTTGAACTCGCACTTTTGCAGAGTTGGGGGAGGGAGGGAGGGAGAGAGAGAGAGAGAGAGGAGATCTTCAATCTTCTGCTCGATGACTTTGTTATTCCGCCGATAGGGAGGCTATTAGGGTTCCTTCAAGTACAGGAAGAGGTGCTTGTGTGCGCTTTGGCAGGGTACTGTTCCAGGGTGCTGCGAGATGTCGCCGTGTGCGGAGCTTGCGTGCTGTTGCTGCACGGTGCCGCTGCAGGGTGCTGTTGGTTGGCTGTTGACACCCTTCCTGCACATCGTCATGCACTCATGCGGTATGGGAATGTCTTGTTAAAGTCATGACACCAAGTGACAATTAGCATGTCCAACGAGTTTTTATTTGCCCTGTACGCCAGTTGCCCTCCCCCAATTCCCACAATTTCCCAACAAACCACCGCATTTGTGGTGCTTAAGTTTCACTTTGCACCCCCCTGGTAAGTTTTCGGTGTTAGGAACTGGGCTTAAGTCTCCAACTTGCTTGCATGAAGGTGGAACACCCTCTACTGTATTTGGTCTTCGGACGATCGTCTTCTGCTATCCACTACTTGTTTGGGCCCGCGCCCGTCACGGTGCCGAAAAAGTCTCGGCGCCTTGGCCAGGCTCGGGGGCTTTTCAACTTGTTGGACGCGGATGATTCCGGGAGCATCAGTGTCCAGGCGTGTGGTGCGTGTGGTGCGTGTGGTGCGTGACCGCCGTGACCGGGGTGACCGTCGACGTGACAGAAGAAACAGTGACTTCAAGGATCTCCTCTTTTTCTATCCAATAAGGAGCTAGGAACTTCTCCAGACCCAGCATGAAGTCGGCAGGCACAGTCCGCCACATCTTACAAAAATGTTTCACGAAGAAGGTGGTTGGTGAACCCACTCCACAGCCCTATTTCCAACCTCTTCCGCTTCCGCCTACGGGTGCCTGCAACCTGCCTGTGCCAGGAGTTCATCCAAGGCTGCCTGCGCTTGCGAGGCCAGGCGAAGGCCATCGACCTCGCCACGCTCATCTACATGACCAAGCGCATGGCCCGCTGGGCTGCAAGCAGTTCCGTTTGCGACAAATTTGTCAAAAACCTCTGCAGCCAAACCATGGAAGGTTGACATCCCTTACAAAGCAATCTGTTCATTTTCCAGGGTGCCCGGGTTTTGACCCACAGGCACATAGGGAGTTCGGCTGTCGACAGCAGACAATCGCCCGCTCTGGCAGCTTTTGATGAGCAGCGCAATTTCTAGAAGCGGCCAATTCTGTTCAGATTGCTCTACGTGGTTCATTTTATAAGAAGATATAAGAAGCTTGTTCCATCTTCTGAACGCGTCTTTTTACTCCAGGAAGTTTGCATTGCTTACTGAGGGTGAGACTTGCTGCTCTACGTTGATGGACACATCTCCTGAAGAAAAGCACTATTGGCTAGCAAATGCTAGCAACTATTCTCACTGACACCAGAAGAGTACTAGAATATATTACATACATGTGTAAATGGCTCACAAACGAGGGGATTTGCCGTGGCGCCGGTGCCTTCCCGAGACACAACAATTTGGACAGCCGAGGTCTACTGGCTCCAAGAGAGGCTTGACTACGTGGAGCACAGCCATGCGGCCCAGATCAGATGTGTGTGACGAAAAGGCAATGGGGCCCTTTTTGGATTTGCGGAAGGATTCAACTGGGTCCAAAAGCAATTAAGACAGGTAGAAATAAGAGGAAAGGGGAATCCATTTTTAAATCAAGCATACCGCTTTCGCTCTTGCCTTGTGTCAACAAGTGCTTGATCTCTGATCCCTTCCTGACCTTCCCCGGAATGCAATCGACACTTGGTGAGCTTCGAGGGTGGACAGATTTTAAATCAAGAGATCTTCAGTCACTCTTCTGATATTTGCCGCTGGGCAAACCATGCCTACTACTCCAGTTTGTCACCTCCTCTTAGAAAGACGAGTATGGATCGTGAAGATCCTAACTAGGAATGGACAACGGCCCAGACTCCAGCCTCCAGACTCCTTTACAAAACCAGTGGACACCCCAAACCCCTTTCCCACGGTTTCCCGTCGCCCCTTCCGGTCTCCGCCTCGTCCGCTCCCGAGGCCTTGAGACGCTCCTCCCGCAGGCGCGATGTGAGACGCGAGCGTTTGGGGAGTGGAGTGTCGACGAGCAAAAGCAGCTGAGTGTTCAAGGGGCCCGAAATATCTTTGAGTCATAGGGTATGATAGGGTGTCATAGGGTATCATAGGGTATCATAGATTCATACCAGTCATTTCTGAACCGAAGATTGGCCCTGTCTTGAAGGAACATGGCCAGGTCTCCTCACAGGAACAGCCTGGATCTTTCTGCTTTCGACTGCGCCCTTTTGGGCCCTTTCGTTCATCCAAGTGAACACCGGCACGGGTCTGCATGGGTCTGCACGGGTCTGCACCTCCAACGCGCTGGGGGGAGGCCCAAGTTAGCACGCGAAGTACATGGGCAACCAACGACTGGTTTAGGCCTAAACCCATCAACTCAAAAACTAGAAGCACCTATGAGGCCCTTCTCTGTCCCTATGAAGCCTCTCCCCTAGCCACGTCAATTATACACATATATATATATATATCTATATTTGTAGCTGAACACGTCCCTTCTCCGCACACGTGAAAACTTCCCAAAATCCTCTGTGCCCCTAGTTCCCCAGCTGTTTTCCTTGAAACTCTTGGGGGCAAAACTCTCCAACTGCCAGAATGCAATGAAAGATGAGAAGCTGATGGACAAGCGCATGAGTAAGGCTCAGGCAGAGAGAGCAGAGGAGAAATCTATGAGTTGCAAGCTTTTCCAGCTTCTGGGTCAAGGAAGAACTAGGCTAAACCATTTCAGTTTTTTGAGCCTTTGATTTTTGAGTCTGGCAGATCTTGAAAGTTGGTCACCGCCGCAAGCCCCAAAGCCACCGACCCCAGCTTCGAGACAAACCTTTCGTGGGTGAAAGCCATTTCGGCGGGAGCGGGAGGGACGTCAACAGCTCAAACCCACGTTCCAAGCACCCCATGGGTGTGAGGGGATGAAATCCCTAAGAATGACATGAGGCATGGGGTGAGAAGTCTTACTGTTTGTCTCAGGTAGGCGACAGAAAGGATTCTAGCTGCTACTAGCTCAAGTCCAGGGGTGCATCAAGTCTCGCTTGCTGCCTTGGCCTTTGGCCTTTGGCTACGTGGTTATCATTGCACAAGCACAACCTGACAGCGAAGCTTCCGCCAGGGCCCAGCGGTGAAGAAGTTCCTGGACATCGCCGTGAGCGACTTGAACGTCAGCCAAACCATACGAGCCCAGGCCGCCGGGAACGCGGAACCGCGCACGGTCGCCCCGGAAACTGGTGGAAGGGGAGGAACTCTTGGACCGGGCTCCACGGTGCTCGAACAACGGGACCACGAAGCGACGGAGGTGACGACAAGGCCGAACCCGTTTTGGGAGGCATCGTAAATCTCAAGGACGAAAAAGCGGGCGGCCAGGTGGACGACCGTTGGGAGGATGCTTGTAACTCTCGCTGTAGGACTTGAGGGTCGCACTGGCCTCATTTCGGGTCCTGCACCCCGGTGCACCCGACCGTGTCTGTCCTAGGACGTCTCCTGTCACAGGCTCCTACCGTATGCACATCGCTCTATTCACCAGGGCGGGCAGCCACTGAACCATCATCATCCACTGTTATAGACCCAAGGTATCCCAAGGTATGGAGTTCCCATCACAGCCTCACGATGGTTTCCCCCAATCCCAAACAGAAACAGTTCTGGATGTTTCCCCCCAAACAGAAACTTCCTATGTAAAGGATCTCAATTGCCATATTGGAATCATCATTTGTCTGTTTTTTTTGGGTTTCCAGGTGATTGTTTCATAGAAATGGACAGAAGAACTCATGAATTCATGGATAAAATTGATAAAATGCTTAGTTTGGTCTTCTTTTCATAGTCTTGCTAGGTCACAAACCTTCTACGCATTCTGGAAGGAAACATCTAAAGCATCTTCATCATTGAAACACCACAGCCTGAGCCACGGCTTTGACTTCCTGGCACCGCTCGTGGTCACCAGGAAGCTCGTGGCTCAGTGGCCTCAGTCCGGCCCAGCCATTCCCCTGAAAGGAGCGATGGGTTTGGTGATTTTGTTGGGAGGAGTCTGGAGCTTGGAGAGGTCAAGATTTTGAGAGCTTTGCTTCTGCTTGTTCTTGGACCTCTTGTTTGTTGCTATGATCAACATTTGAGGCACTTGTCTAGGAGCGGTTTTCATGTTCCTGACAATCTGCGGAGGTCTTTTTGCAGGAGGTCGCGGAAAGTTTCGGGGATCAAATTGAGTAGCCCCAGTTGCTTCACATAGAGCGGTTCAGCATTTGGGATTGTCTTTATATATATATATATATAAGCGTGTTCTATATAACTGCTACAAGCCCCACCAAAATGAATCAATCTCAGCTGTGAAAAACTGCTGTGGCGTAAAGAACAAAAGCGGAACCCGTCCCAACCAGGCGGGCGCATGCCACGTGAGTGCGGCTGAGCGCAGAATTTGCATGGCCAGATCGCCACCAGTCATGCTCAGAACATGTCCATTGCGAAGGCCTTGGTGGGGCGGTGATCACAACTGCTTGACCAGAACTCTCGCTGAAAAAACACACTCTATGGCTTTGGTTTTGAGACAGGACCCTCCTACGATTCACTGACATTGACACCACTCAAAAAACAGCGAAAACGGCTTCTTTGTCACGGCTTCATGTCTTTTAGTAAGGCATGGGAGAGGATTCCCATTAAGGAAAGGACGAACCAACAGACCTCGGTGGTTCCGTCGTTCTTCCGTTGCGACCTATTTCGAGGGTCGGTGGTTCCCCCGATTCGGTCGGTCATCGACATGGGGGTGGTGTTCGATTTTCGGGCAACTGCAAACTGGAGAAGGTGGAATTTCATTCTTTGTCCAGTGCCATGGATTGATTGCGATCTTTGCAATCTTTGCTAAGAGTTGCAGGGTGGACCAGGCTGGTCCTTTCTTCCGCGTGTCTCGTCCATAAGTTGGAGTGACTAAACATGTGGGCCACCCTGCGTCATGAGATGCAGCAAGCAGCTGCGAGAGCAGCTTAAAGACCTGGAAAGAACAGGGACGAAGAGGACGGTGGAAGCCAGACCTGTCAACTGAACTGTGGTCACTTAGCTCGACGGCACAAAAGGAGATCCCTCCGCACCCCGTAGCAATGCCCAAATCCCCAGGTTCAACCCTTTGTGATCTTAACCCGGAAGTCCAAGACTATGGCCAGAACACATGTCTTTTGTAAGTGTCCGGTGACCCGAAAAGAACATACCTTACGGAATACTGGACTGTGTGCAGCCGGACTTGTTGAACTGGACTTCTAGGGACATGCGGTTCGGACACGAAGGACTGGTCGGTCCACCACTTGGAGCAAACGGATCAATCGTTCGGGACACCCTCCACCTGCCAGTGGCTTTCCAACAGGAACGCTGCAGATGGGACTTGAGTAGCTTCCTTGTGGCATAAAAAACCTGGGGCCCCTCTTCATCGAATGCAGAGGTTTAGCTGGCTTGAAAACGGGTCCTTCTGGTTTGTTTGGGTATACACCTTGGGCTGGAGGTGCACTGTAGAACTCTCCAGAATTTCGGCTCACAAACCTTCTCGGGGCCCAACTCATCCTACTCAGTTTAGGGGCTCTTCGGTCCATCTCATTCAACAGGGTATGTTCAGATACCTCAGATGAATCTATGCCGATCACTTCGTCGGAACTTCCTTATCTTGCAGCCACACGGCTTGGCTCCAAGGCTGTCTTGGACGTGTGGACGCTGGAGCAACTCACCGTGGCATTGCCGACCTCAAACATCAAATCCTTGACATGTGGTTTTACAAGCTAAAGTCCATGAACCCACGTGTTCCACGCACGGTGCGCAGCATCGAACTGTGAGTGTTTTATAGTGTTTTTGAAGTTCTGTGATGTGTTTGGATCATCGAACTCGCTCCAGTAGCGTCCAGTACAAGGCACGAATACTTCATCACACAGGCTGTGATGTGTTTTTTTATTCTTCTTAGCAACTGATGTAACCGCACTCTTCCAAGAAGATGCTGTACTATGCCACCTTTTCTTGAACGCTCGAGATGTGCGCTGGGCAAGCACCGGAAGTCTGGCCAAATTAGCCTATACACACATACTGTATATATATATATAGAGAGAGAGAGAGAGCGAGCATGTTGGAGCTAGTCTAGACATGCTGGACAGAATGGACACAAAGCTTCGTTAGACAGCGGAGCGCATAAAGAACATCATTGTTTATCAAGAACATCATTATCATCGTTTGGCATTTCACACTTGCTATACTCAGCGCACTCGTTCAGCTCTTTCTTTAAAAGCAAGAGCAGAGATGTTCGGCATCCAGGCCTGCAGACACCATACCCATTCGCATAGGAATACCAAACTTCCAGCCGAAGAATTCACTCCAAGATACTGCCAACGGTAAGCTTTTCGGAGCAGGTTCGAAGCTCTGATCGTGGCCAAGAAAAGACACCTTGGGGTATGCATCTGTTCTTTTTGTTCAGAGGGAATGTCAGGATCTCAGGGGGTTTTCAGAGGGCTTTCAGGGGTTTTCTTGGGGT